GGGTGGGGGCGCCGCGCGCTCCAGCTGCAGACGCTGCGCTGAGCCCTGGGAGCCCCGAGCACGGGGTGCGCTCACGGGGGACACCCGGGCCTGGGGAAGCCCCTCCTCTCCGAGCCTCTAAGTCCCCACCCGCGAGGGGGAGGAGCTGCACGGTTCCCGGGGGGCCCCGGGGCGGGAGAGGCCCCGAGGCCCCGCCCGGCGCCCACCGAGTAGGCTCTAAACGGGTGGGATTTGGTTTCAGTTTCCTTTCATCTCCGATTCCTTTTCTTTTTGAGGGAAGTTCTGGAGCGAAGGAGCCAAGGCTATGTAAACGAGCATATTTGCATTTCTTTTCCAAGAACTCTGAGTAATTTCTTAAACTTCCCGGTTGCTTTCTAATGCTTGACGGCCTGGGTGTGAAGAGGAAACCGTCCCTGGGAGGCAACCGATAATTTTAACTTTTGACTGCCACTTATAGTGACCCCCCCCAAAGGACTTTAGAAGTCACTTTATATCTCTTTACACTGTTATGATAAATCACACCCGCTCGCACTGGTAATTAATATGCCCAACGAGGCAACTAAAGAAGACTGTTTGTAAGGGCTCCTTTTTGAAAGTGTCCAAAACCGCACGGGAGCCAAGAGGCGCGCACACAGCCAATGGCACTACTTGGCCCTGAGATACAAGCGCTTCTCGTGGTTGCAACAATCTTACTGCTATGAAACAGTAACGTCTCAGGCAACTGGGACTTTATCTTCCCTCAGTCCTGGAACAGCGGTTTCTCTGGGAGAAACAGCCCGCGCCGCCCAGCCAGGACACGCCTCTCCCCTGTGGGAATCGTGGCCGCGGGAAAGATAAAGGGACACCCCTCCTCGCGCCCCAGCCGCGCCTGCCCCGGGCGCTCTGCCCGGCCGCCGGGGGGTGGGGGCAGAGTTCTCCCAGCCTTCGGGGCGTGGGGACTCCGCTCACGTCACTAAGCGAGGCTGGCTAAGCCCGCTTGAAATGTGGAGGGTCAGATGCCAACTCCATTTAACGTGTAACCTAAGGGCCCGATGCGAGGTGCTGCGCCCAGCTGCGGGCGGATTCCTCCTCCGGCTCCCTTAACTGGGAGCATTCCTTCCACTTCAGATTAAGGCAGCAAACAGACCGGGGCTTAATCCAACCCCCTTCCTGTCACCTAAATCCGTGGGCCCACACTGGCCGCGGCCCCAGCTCCTGGCGTTTGCCTGAGGGTCACACAGGCGGGGGAGGTGGGGTGGACCAGGGGAAGGATGCGGATGGTGGCGGCCGGGGTTCAGCCCTCACCCTCCTCCCTGCCTTGGAGAGTCGCTTTTTCCCGAAGGTGAGGCTGTCCAACTGCAAAAGACATTAATGCCCGATTCCACCTGGCTGGTTTTAGGATACGCTGGGAGGTGACCCTGCTTTGCAAACTGTAAGTCTGTGCAAATGCTGCTATTTTTAGGACAACCTGCTTGCCCACCTTCGGAGTCCAAACCCGCCCCCGCCGCCTCCCTGCGCCCCTGCGCGCTCGCTCCTAGTTCTCGGGAACCTAAGCCGCGTTCCGGAGCCACGCCCACGTCCCGCGCAGCCACGGGCTCACCGGGCCCGGAGACCCTCTGTCCAGGATCTTCCCACGGACCGCCAACTTCGGTAACCGCTCCCTCTCTCCTCACAAAATCTTTGACCCATTTTCGACAAAAGCGCTTTGCAATTTACAAACACTCGGCACTCGGAGAACCGAGCGAGCGGCTGTGGAGGGTCCCTCCCGCGAGCGCCCTCGCGCCACGGGACCGGTCTCCCCAAGTACGACCCTTGGAGCAGGGAGAGCAACGAAGTCTCCGCAGCCGCAACGCCCATCCCCAACCTCCGGCCGCGGGTGCCGCCCCCTGGGCGCTGCGGCGACGCCCCCGGCGCGGG